TTTTTTTTTCTTGGTCTTTTTGAGACAGGGTCTCACTATGCAGTTAAGACTAGCCTTGAGCTCACTTTGTAGCCCAGGCTGGTCTTGAACTTGCATCGACCCTCCTGCCTCAGCCTCCCGAGTGCTGGTATTACCGGCATGGGCTACCACGCCCGGCCTTTTTCGTCTTTTTATTTTTTGGCACTGGGAATTGAATTCAGGACCTTGCATTTTCTAGGCAGGGGCTTGTGCTGCTGAGCTATATCTCCGGCTTTTTTGTCTTTTTGAGACAGGGTCTTGCTATGCAGTTCAGGCTGGCTTTGAGCTCAGTTTTTAGCCCAGGCTGGTTTTGAACTTACAAAGATCCTCCTGCCTCAGTCTCCTGAGTGCTGGGATTACAGGCGTGTGCCACCATGCCTGGCCTAGACTAAGATTTTGAGAGATAGTGCCACAGAACTCATTTTTTGGAACAACTGGCAAAATTGTACATTAAAAGTTTTTCATTATTAAATTTCTTCAATTGAGAACTATACTGTGGTATGTGAAAATATTATTCTTAGGAAATACACACTGAAAAAAGACATTTGACAGTCTACTCATGATTTATGAAAAAGTATATTTATATTAATGTGGCAAAACATTAATGCTGAAGGGGCCAGGGATATAGCTCAGCGGCACAAGTGCATGTCTGGCAAGGACAAGACCCTGAGTTTGATTCCTGGTACCCAGAAAACAAAAACAAGACTTTAAATGGGCTGGGGAGATAGCTCAGCGGCATAGCACCTGCCTGGCAAGTGCAAGGTCCCAGTTCAATTCCTGACCCCCCCCCCAAAAAAAAACGTGATGAATATAAAAGATACTTTGGAAATTGTCCATTATTTTTGCAAGTTTTGTGTAGATTAGGTGTCATTTTAAAAAAAGAAACTGGCACGATGTAGTGGTGCACACCTGTAATCCCAGCACTCGGGAGGCTGAGGCAGGAGGATCGTTGTGAGTTCGAAACCAGGCTGGGCTACAAAGTGAACTCAAGGCCAGCCTGAACTGCATAGCGAGACCCTGTCTCAAAGAAAAAAAAAAAATCAAAGGCTAAGTGGTAGAGTGCTTGCCTCGCATGCACAAAGCCCTGGGTTTAATCCCTAGCAGTGGAAAAAATTAAAAAGAGAGAAAGGAAGGAAAAAAGTAAATGTCCCTTTAAGTTCTATAGCAAAATTAATTCTACAGTTTCCACTGTTACTTTACTTTCCCATATGTAACTTTGGAAAGTCTTGTACAATCCATAATCTTTCCTGTTTAAAAATATCTTTATAGGGAATCAAAGACTCCATCTGGGGCATTTGTACCATCTCAAAGATAGATGCTCGAATCCAGCAGAAGAGAGAGGAGCAGCGTCGAAGAAGGGCTAGTAGTGTCTTGGCTCAGAGGAGAACCCAGAGTATAGAGCGGAAGAAAGAAAGGTAAGGTGTGCAGCCTGTGTCAGAAAATGTCCCAGAGTGGGGTGCTTTAGGAAGTGATCTTAGTATAGCACAAACACCCTACATAGGAAGTTTCAACAATCTAAAGTGTTTTGTTTTTTTTTTTTGTTTTTTGAGAGACAGGATCTCCCTATGTAGTTTAGGCTAAGCTTGACCTCAGTAGGTGGTCCAGCCTGGCCTCAGACTCGAAGCAATCCTCCTGCCTCAGCCTCCCAAGTACTGGGATTATAGGCATGGGCTACCAGGCCTGGCAGAAAGGTGGTTATTCAGAAATATTTTTAGTCTTTTCTCATTGACTGAATTAGAACATTGGGAGAACATAAGGTGCTGAAAATAATATGGCACCAAAGGATGGAACAGAAATGGTGGGCTACTGATTGATAGCTGGGAAATCATCTATATGCCTTGTAAGCTAAAGCATGTGATCTTTTCCAGTGAGTCATGTATTGCTAGAAGAATTTTCCAGTGCTGTGCTTGGAATGGTGGAGTATTCTGGGTAAGTTCTTTCCCTCAAATTCCAGATGTCTCATAAGCATCTTCAGATTATTGCTAGGTTAGTGGTCCTCAGCTGTTTTCTTTCTTCTTTTCTTTTTTTAGAGGTAGGTCTTTTTTTTTTTTAATCTTTTTGAGACAGAGTCTTGCTATGCAGTTCCTGCTGGCTTTGAGCTCACTTTGTAGCCCAGGCTGGTCTCGAACTCACAACGATCCTCCTGCCTCAGCCTCCTGAGTGCTGAGATTACAGGCATGTGCCACCATGCCCGGCTTCAGCTGTTTTCTTAAAACACTAAGACATGTAGCTTTTAACTGTATATACACACTTAAGGCCATAACTCAGGATTCTGTGTACTTATAGGAATTTTATTCCTACTCGAGAGAGAACATACTTTTTTTCTCATGGTACTGGGAATTGAACTGAGGACCTTGTACATGCTAGGCAAGAGCTCTGCCACTGAGTTACATTACCCTGCCCACCCTTCTTTTTGAAACAGGGTCTTACTATGTAGTTCAGGCTGGCCTTGAACTCAAAGTGATTGCTCTGCTTCAGCTTCCTGAGTACTGGGATTACAGGCATGTGCCACCATACTCTGCCCCATCTCTTTTTCTTTAATTTATTTATGTTTTGAGACAGTCTCACTGTGTAGTTCAGGCTGGCCTCAGTCTCCCCAGTGCTGGGATTACAGGCATGTGCCCCCATGCCCAGCTAAATGTATACATGTCTTTTTTCTTTTGCTACCAGGAATTGAACTCAGTACTTTGCGCTTGCCAGACAGGCGCTTGTGCCCCTGAGCTATATCCCTGGCCCCAGCTCTTAATTTTATTTTGATAGGGTCTTTTTTGTTTGTTTGTTTGTTTGTGTGTTTGTTTTTTGGTACTGGGAATTGAACTCAGGACCTTGTGCTTGCCAGGCAAGTGCTTGTGCTGCTGGGCTATATCTCTGGCCCTTGATAGGTTCTTTCTGAGGCCCAGGCTGGCCTTAAAATGCAGTCCTCCTGCTTTAGCCTCCTGAAGAGCTGGAATTATAGGCCTGTGACAGTGCCTGGCTTTTTTTTTTTTTTTTTATAATGACTCATTCACAAGCTTTAGTAGCATTATGAATAACAGTATTTGTAGATACTATCTAGGCTTTTTGGCAAAGAGATTTATGGGGATTAGAGGAGAAGGGCAGATATAGCTGGATAAGAGCAAGGCTCTCCTTTCTGGCATAATAGTTGGGTACAGTTCATTATTACTGAAACCCAGCACAGAAAAGGTTGCCTGCAGTTAACTGAGAACCAGCATGGTTTTAAGTGAAATTTGGGTTCTTTGAAGAATTGTTAACAAATATTTCCTTTGACTTGGAATTCAGTATAATTCAGTTTATGTAAACATTTCACAGATGGTTTTAGATGTTAGCTTTAGATTTACTTCACAGATATTTACTATAGACTTAGTATATGCCTGTATATTTTGACTTGAGTGCTTTCTAAGATAATCTTTTTGCCCACCCCACCTAGTTTCACTGTTGTATAAGCAATATCAAGTTTGTACCGCTCAGTTGGAAGTATTGGAAAATAGAAATGGTCTGATTTTGGTGTTTCTTCAGGCCTCTTGTTTTTTTTTGGGTGGTGGGGAGTACTAGATATAGCACTGAGTTAAATCCCTAGCTGCTATTTTGAGACAGGGTCTCACTAAGTTAGTAAATTGCCCAGCAGGCTGAGCTGGTATTTAAGATCTTCCTGCCTCGGGGGTGCTGGGATTGTAGCCATGCCCCATCATGCCTGGCTAGGCTTTCTATTTTGTTTTGTTTCATTTTTTTGAGACAAGATCTTGCTGTGTAGTGCAGGTTGGCCTTCAGCTCACTGTGTAGCACAGACTGGCCTTAAACTTGTTTTTAACTTCCTACTTCTGCTACCTCACCACTAGGATTACAGACGTGCACCACCATGCCCAGATAATCTTCCTGATTTTTCTTTTCTTTTTTTTTTTTTTGAGACAGAGTCTCGCTGTATAGTTCAGGCTGGCCTTGAACTCACCATGTCACCCAGGCTGGCCTCGGCCTTGGGGTGATCCTTCTGCCTCAACCTCAAAAGTGCTGTGGTTACATGCGTGTGTACCACCATGCTCAGCCCTGTTTTTTTTTGTTTGTTGGTTTTTTGTCTTTTTTGGTACCAGGAATCAAATTCAGAGCCTTGAGCTTGCCAGATAGGCATTGCATTGCTGAGCTACATCCCCAGCCCTAGTCCTGACTTTTTGTTTTTTTTCTGGTACCGGGAATTGAACTCATGACCTTGCGCTTGCCAGACAGGCGCTGTGCCGCTGAGCTAAATCCCCAGCCCCTAGTTCTGATTTTTAACAGGCACCCACATCTGGAAAATTGTAAAACTGAAACTTGAAACTCTTAAAGGAGGGCTTTTGACATTTACTTTATTGCTTCTTTCCTTTTAGTTAAGTCTCCTCTTGTTTTATCGAGTATTTATTCCTGTGCTTCAGTCAGTAACAGCCCGGATTATTGGTAAGTGTATACCTTGTTCCTTGCTGTCTGCTGGGAATGGAGGTGGGAGATATTTTTCTAGTCCCTCTCAGTTTAATGAACGTTTCCTATGGATCGGGAGCTTTAGGTGTTTTTAACTCAGACATCTCAACAACCCTTTGAGAAATGCACTCTTGTTCTATCTCATCAACAGTTGATGAGGAAATGGAACTTAGTTACCATGGTTAAACCATTAGTAAGTGGTAGAGCTGGGATTTAAACCCAGGCGGTTTCCTTCTAATTGTCTACTATTAATAACTGACGTCTCAGTCCTTACCTTGTGGGCAAATTTGTTTCAAGATTAGCATGTATGTGTCTGGTTACTCTGAGGGTAAGTGTGGGCAGAATGTAGTGTGTCTCGGGTGAATAAGACTTTAGCTGGGTACAGTGATAATACTGGAAACAAAATGATGTGGTGGGGGGAAGAATAGTCAGAAAGTGGGGGTACCATATTTGGTTTTTCCATTTCTCTACTTAAGGTAATCAGTCTTTGCCCTTTTCAGGTGATCCATCCCTGCATGGAGACATTTGGTCTTGGCTGGAATTCTTCCTCACGTCGGTGTTCAGCGCTCTTTGGGTGCTCCCCCTGTTTGTGCTCAGCAAAATTGTGAATGCCATTTGGTTTCAAGTAGGTCCAGGGCAGAGTCTGGGTCCTACAGCATGGTGGGTGGACAGTGGATAAGTTTCGGCCTGTGATGTTATGGCCATGTAGGAACCTTTCTCGGCCTTGATATTTCTTGGCCAACTAGTCAGTGGGAGATAATAGATCTTTGTGTCTTTGTAAAATGGAATTGTTGTCTTAGGTCACTGAAGTATCTTGCCAGATGCGGGGGACTTTTTTCACATGGAAGTGGCAGACCAAAATCCTTGTTTTAAGCATGGATATCAAGGCCATTTAATTCATGTTTCAGCATACTACTTTCTCTGTTACAGGATATAGCTGACCTGGCATTTGAGGTATCGGGGAGAAAGCCTCAACCATTCCCCAGCGTCAGCAAAATAATTGCTGACATGCTCTTCAACCTTTTGCTGCAGGCTCTTTTCCTTATCCAGGTGAGATTGGCCTTCTGGGCACAGGGACAAATTAAAAAGAAGTGTCACTAGATGGAGCCTCATAAGGACAGTGTATTGCATTTATACTGGGGTATACATACATACTTTGTGGGAGGTAATGCATTTTAAGTCGTTTTTTAATGGAAAAAATAGAATTTCATTTTTTTCTATTTTATAAGATTACTTATTAGAATTTCAATATGAAATTGTAGGCTGAGTGTGATGGCACATGTCTGTAATCATAGCACTCAGGAGGCTGAGGCAGGAGGACTGCCTAAGTTCAAGGCCAGCCTGGGTTACATAGTGAGTTCAAGTCCAGGTGAACTACATAGCTAGATCCTGTCCCAAAAAACTAAATATAACATTGTAAGAAAAATGAATTTATCCACTCTTCCTGCCACTGCAGGAGCTCTCCATCTCCTGCTCTTTAGAAACTTAAGAAGTGGCAAGAAAGGTATCTCAGCAGCACTGATGATTGGGCATTGGTGGGTGAATAGTGTTAGGTGTTTGTACCTTTGGAACTAAAATCTGTCATATTTGTTCTTCAGGGGATGTTTGTGAGTCTCTTTCCCATTCATCTTGTTGGTCAGCTGGTCAGTCTGTTGCATATGTCCCTTCTCTACTCACTGTACTGCTTCGAGTATCGTTGGTTCAATAAAGGTAAGTCCATCTAAAGAAACCCAGTGCATAGAGACCCAGTTTGGAAATGTTACTTCTAAGCAGAATTTAACTTGTGGATTTGACCCCTAACTTTGAAACTAGGGAAACTAACATTCTTATGGTTAATGTGATGTAGATGTGACTGAGCTGAATTATTCAGCATGAATTATTCTAAATTAGAGAAATTAAACTAATGCCAGCACATTTATTTGGGTCTCTTAAAAAAAAGATGTATATTGATGTGGGTATATATGGATGTGAAAGGTTAAATGACTCCTACAGGATAGCCTCCTTTTTATTTGGTATCTTGTTTTGTTCTAGACTAGTCCTGTTAAGGATGCTGATGCTGGTGTTGAATTCATAATTCACTGAGCCTGGTAGTTTTTAAATTGTGATGATTTGAATTGTAAACTTGGTGGAAAAGCTTTTTTTTTTTTTTTTTTTTTTTAAGGGTATCCGAGGTTGAACCCAGGGCCTTCTCATTGAGCTACACCCCCAGTCCTCTTTTTTACTGTTATTCACTAAGTTCTTAAGTTGGTCAGGCTGGGTTTTATGTTGGGGTCCTCTTGCCTCACCTTCCCAGAATACTGAGATTATAGGTATGTGCCACCAGGCCTGACTTGCATAGAAGCTTTATGTCAGATTTGCATAATTGTTTTGTATGCCCTAGCCATGTAGGTCTGTATCTAAAACCCAAACCTCAATTGCTTTGTCTACTATAGTTTGTCACTTGATTAAAAGAAAATGTGTAGTCTAATTGTATTGGCTTCCTTGTTTTAGGAATTGAAATGCATCAGCGGTTGTCAAACATAGAAAGGAATTGGCCTTACTACTTTGGATTTGGTCTGCCCTTGGCTTTCCTCACAGCAATGCAGTCCTCGTATATTATCAGGTAATTAGGCTAGGAAGAGCTGAGTGAGAATAGTAAAAACAAAATTCATGTAACAAGCATCTTTTATTTGCTTGGTTCTCTGCCAAGCATTCTCTATTCTTATCTGACCATCAGGAGACCTGTAAGGAGTTTTCTCTTTGGCAGACAGCCATAGACAGTTGGCTGTGTGACCCTCTAGCCCATATTCATTCTTCTCTGTTGCTTCCTAGAGCAGCGTTAAACATGAGGAGCGCTTAGAAAAACCTTCTATGCTTCCCAAAAGCTGTGTCTAATTTATTAGGATTTCATCAGGCTGTGATACCTGCACTGCAAGCCCACGAACTGGGCTTGTATCTGCTTCAGAGGCACGGCTGTCATGAAGAGGACTCATTATTTCTTTTCTTTTTTAGTGGCTGCCTCTTCTCTATCCTTTTTCCTTTATTCATCATCAGCGCCAATGAAGCAAAGACCCCTGGAAAAGCATAGTGAGTATCGGCTGGTAATGAGGTTTTTGCTGTGCAAAGGAAGGCTGTAATGCCACAATTACATTAGTAAGGTTTCTTTAAAAATTTTTTTGTCTTTTTGAGACAGGGTCACACTATACAATTCAGGCTGGCCTTGAGCTCATTTTGTAGCCCAGGCTGGTCTCGAACTGGCAATGATCCTCCTGCCTCAGCCTCCTGGGTGCTGGGATTGCAGGCATGCACCACCACGCCTGGCTCGAGCTTTTAATAATCTTACGTTGCAGGAAGACCTTAAGAAAAACACTTCCAGGATATACCCTACACTTTGCCTGTGAATATGTGCACATGTATATTAAAATTTAACAGTTTAAAAAATAAAATTTAACAATTCAGCTGGGGGTGTAGTTCAGTGCTAAAGTGCCTGCCTAATGTACCTAAGGCATGGAGTTCCATCCTCAGCATCACTAAAGGGGGTGAGGAATCTAATCATTCACTTAATATAAGCCACTTATAAACCTCTGTAGTTAAGTTCATTTCTGTAAGACCTGTTTGTACTTATGAGTTTTTTTTCTTTTGTTCCCCCAGTACTGGGGATTGAACCTAGGGCCTTAGCACTAAACTATATCCGCAGCCCCATTTATTATATATGTTTTGAGACAGGGTCTCAATGAGTTGCCTGGTCTGGGCTTCAGATTGTAATCCTCCTGCCTCAGCCTCATGCTGGAATTATAGGCATACGCCTCCATAGCTGGCTTTAGTGTGGTATTTTTCCATACATGCATAACATTTTTTTTTTGTTTGTTTGTTTTTCTCCGGTACCGGGAACCGAACTCACGACCTTGCGCTTGCCAGGCAAGCGCTTTTGCTGCTGAGCTAAATCCCCAGCCCCCATAACATATATTTTGATCATACTTATTCTCAAAGTGCTCCTTATTCCGGGAGCCCCAGTACTTCAAAACTGGTTATTCCATTCATGCTGAAGCAGGACCCAGCATTTTTTTTTTTTCACTGCTGGGGAATGAATCCAGGGCCCCATGCAAGCTAGGCAAGTTCTCTCTCACTGAACCATACTGTCTGCAGTACGTTCTTCAGTTGCCTGTTCAGTTCATGCATTTGCTGTCTTAAACTTTATTCAGATGTAGTTGTAAGTTTAATGTAGTCAAATAAGCTGTTGAATACGTGAAACAATAATTTTGATTAACTGAGGGGCTAACAAGTTGGGTCTCTTGTCCTCCAGCCTTTTCCAGTTGCGCCTCTTCTCCTTGGTGGTCTTCTTAAGCAACAGACTCTTCCATAAGACAGTCTATCTGCAGTCTGCGCTGAGCAGCTCCACCTCTGCAGAGAAGTTCCCCTCACCGCATCCATCTCCTGCCAAACTGAAGGCTGCTGCAGGCCACTGAGTCACCTGCCGTCCAGGGGCGATGGGTGGGGTTGGAGGGAGGCTGTGGCAGCTCTTTTCTCTATTCTCCTTCCCTGGCCAGGAAAGGCAGGGCCCATTCTGCCAAGGGTCCTCAGCGTATTCCCTTCTCTTTGAAGAATTGGAATTTTTGTCTCTGGTGCATGTAGGGCAGAATCTTCCCGACACCAGTGCGTGGATTTTTAACACCATCATGAGTCTGAATGGACCACAGGTTTTTCTGTAGCTGTTTTCTAGCATTTGCCAGCCCCTGTGCCTGGACTGATTGGAATACTTTGGTTTTTTCCCCTGTGCCATTTACCCTCCTCTGTCCTTTCTGCCTTCTAGCCCCTTTGGATGAATGAGTTTTGTAATTCTAGCTGTTGTATTTTGTGGATTTGTTATTTTTGTTTTTCTGTGAAGCACATACATTGGATGTGGGAGGAAAAGGAGTACATTGTCTCAGTTGCTCCTGCTCACTCCCGTTATAGCCATCACTGTCTTGTTTCTCGTAACTCAGGTTAGGTTTTGGTCTCTCTTGCTCTACTGCAAAAAAGAAAAAAAGAGCTTGAAGAGATAGGACAGAAGGAAAGACCTCACAGCCAGATCAGCTAGGTTTTGAGGAATAATTTTCTTTCTTCCCCTTGAAGGGGAAAAGGCTTTTCTTTCACTGGTACATTTAAAGCTCCCCAGCTGTGGGGAGGTACCGATTCTGGACAAGTGCCACCGCAACAGAGAATGCCCAGAGAACCTGAACTTTTCAGCTCTGAAGGGTGGAAATTTACTGTTGGCCACTGCCGTGTCTCACTGGTATTTCAAAGGAATATTGGGTGCTGCAAATAGGAACTGAAGGGGTATACTTATTAAACCCATTAAACCTGTGAGTGGTGATGTTTTTTGTCCTTTTAAGAGACTAAATATGGGGAGGGAGGGCGGATGTCAAAACACTTGTAAAATTTTAAAATGTCACAATTAAACGTAAGCTGGCTTCCCAGAAGTGTGTAATGGTTGAATTTGAAAATCATAACCTCAGGTACATATTCATGGAACACAAGACTTTGTCTTGGATTATCTAATGATAGGTTTGAGAGATTAGCCTGAAAAATGTTCCCTGAGAAAGTCTGAATTATATTTTACACTTTATGAAAGACTGGGTTTGTTATTTATTTTAAAGTCTATCTATATCTCCACTGATAGATGACTAATATTCCAAGTTTATGTTCCTCAAAATGGAAGGGTGAATTCTGAGGAACAGTGGAGGTTAAGGGTAGGAGGAAGCTAGCTCCTGAGAGACCAGCGGGGAACCAGAAAATAGGTTGCCAAGGAGCCCATTTCTCAGAAGAAATTTTATAGAGCAAAATCATGAAGCGGGTACAAAATCATGAAGTGGGTACAACATGGGATAAAACTATGATCAATAAGATTATAAAGCCGGGTGTGATGGCACACGTCTGTAATCCCAGTACTCAGGAGACTGAGGCAGGTGGATCACTGCCTGTTCGAGGCCAGTCTGAACTATGTAGCAAAAGCCTGTCTCAGACAAAAAAAAAAAAAAAAGTTGTAAGTATAGCTACTTAGGTAATACTGATCCAGTGGGGAAGCAAGTTATGTAACAAGTGTATATAGACAGAACAAGGACCTTTTTTGAGAGATGGGTCAGGAGGATCTGGTCACCCACTTGGGTGACTGATGCCTGTTTAGAATATCTACCATTATTGTTTATCCCTTCGGGAGATGTGTAAGTGTAGTCATTCCATCTTTATTTTGAGGCCTGAACTTCGATGAACGTGCCTCCAGCCACAGTTGTAAATGTGTTGTCATTTGTACTGATTCCTTCAAAGGCCTAGCCGTCTGACTGTATCTCTAACTTAGCTGTCTATAATATAGTCACCCCTAGTTAACATGTTCTCTCAATGCTGTATGACCAAAAAACTAGTTTAAAATGAAGCTGACTTCATTTCAGTGTGATTTGGACCTATGTAACAATGACATCTGCACATCAGTGGAATATTTTTGGGTGGACCTAGAATGAGACCATAGAACCAGGAAAGGATCCAGTGGGAGAACAGATGACTTGGTCTTGTAACAAGTGTTTGAATACCTTCTCTCTCAGGCCTTTGGAAGTCACTGGGAACTCATGGGTGAAGCGGAAAGATAAAGGTTCCTGCCCTTTGGACCTCAATGTCTACTGAGGGAACCTGACCAGTACATGAACAGCATTTTACAAACTACATGATCACAAATAGCTACTGTTTTCCCATAGGCCTCAAAGCTGGGATGAAACACTAAAATTCAGAGTATGATGGGATACTAGGTCATACAGTCAGTCCTTCATCTTTGTACTCATTTTCTGATTTTTTTTTTCTGGTACCAGGAATTGAACTCAAGACCTTGTGCTTGCCAGGCAGGTGCTGTGCCACTGAGTAAAATCCCCAGCTCCTCATTTTCTGATTTCAAGTTCAGATGGCTTATAGTGCTTGACACCTATAAACAGTCTATAGGTGGTCACTTACCCAGGTTTTTGTGTTTGGTTGTTTTGTTTCTTTAGTAGTAGGTCTCACTGGGCCTTGTGAATGCTAAGTAGGCCTTCTACCACACTTGAGTTACACCCCAGCCCCAGATACTACCAGGAATTAACATCAGAATCCCCAGGTATGCAAAAATGTACATGTTTCTGGAGAGTTAAATGAGTCTAGAAACAAAAATGTTAAATTCTATGCTGGGTGTGGTGGTGCAGTGTTGTAATCTCAGCACTCAGAAGGCTAAAGTAGGAAGATTGCTGTGATTTTGAGGCTAGCCTGAAGTATATAGTGAAACAGTATAAATAAGTAAGTAAGTTGAGGATATACTCAATGCAAAGGCTTGGGTCCAATCCCTAGTACCAGAAGAACTAAAACATTCTAGCACTTCTGGAGGTTGAAGCTGGAGGATTCCATGTTCAGGGCCAGCTTAGGCAATACAGCAAGACTCATCTCAGAAACAAGTCTGATCACTACTTCCCCAGAAATCTGAGAAGTTACTGCATTCACACAGGACAGATTGCTGTGTAAGGAAAATAGGGGTTACTGGAAATTAAGGCAATTGTCACAAAATGATAAAGGCTTATAAACATGGCACTGAGGCAAAATTACTGTACAATTAAAGACAAAATTATGGTAAACTTCCAAAACATAAAGCCAAAAGATCGAAACATGGAAAAAGGAATTGTGTTATCCAAGAGTTAGGAAACCCAACAGTTGTCTAATAGAAACATCAAGCTGGGCGTGGTGGTGAATGCCTGTAATCCCAGCATTCAGGAGGCTTGCCAATTAAACTTGCTCCAGGTCCTTCTTGCCTTGAACAAAAAATTGGGTAAGACAAGCCAAAAATGGTACCAAAAGTTTATCTGAAAAGTGAGGCATGCTGGCTTTGTAGAGTGAATTTGGGCAAATGAGAGAAAAGGATAAAAAGAGCAAGGAGGATCAACATGAATTCAAGGCGATCCTGTACTACATAGCGAGACCTTGCCTCAAAAAAAACACAGGCCAGGTGTGATGGCCCATGCCTGTAATCCCAGCACGTGGAAGACAGAGGCAGGATTGCTGCAAGTTTTAGGCCAGCCTAGGCTATGTAGTTCAAGAGCAGCCTGAACTACATAGCAAGATCCTGTCTCAAGAAACAACCAAAACCATTAAAGAAAAAACAAAAAGGAAATTTAAGCCAGGCACAATGGCACACACCTGTAATCCCAGCACTTCTGAGGCGGAGGCAGGAGGATTGCTGCAAGTTCAAGGCCAGCCTGGGCTACATAGTCCAAGGCTACCCTGAACTACACAGTGAGACTCTCGTCTCAAAAAAAAAGAAAAAAAAGCCAGGCATGGTGGCACACACCTGTAGTCCCAGTGTTTCTTTAGAAATGGCTTGCCAGGGCTGGGGATTTAGCTCAGTGGTGCAGTGCCTGCCTGGCAAGTGTGAGGTCCTGAGTTCGATTCACAGTAAACACCCTGCCCCCCCCCAAAAAAAAAAAATTTGGCTTGCCAATTAAACTTAATCCAGGTCCTTCTTGCCTTGAACAAAAAATTGGATAAAACAAGCCAAAAATGGTACCAAAAGTTTATTTGAAAAGTGAGGGTCTGGCTTTGTAAAGCGAATTTGGGCAAACGAGAGAAAAGGGTAAAAAGCAAAAATAAAAGTACACTGAAAGCCAGGCATGGTGGTGCACACCTGTAATCCCAGCACTCGGGAGGCTGAGGCAGGAGGATCCTTGTGAGTTTGAGACCAACCTAGGCTACAAAGCGAGCTTGAAGAGAGCCTGAACTGCATGGTAAGACCCTGTCTGAAAAAGACAACAACAAAAACAGTATACCGTGTGTCTGGGAAACAGCATGGGCTACCATGAAGAGACAATACCAGACTTCTTATAGTATCCCATCTTTTGTGTGTGTGTGTGTGTTTTTTTTTCCGGTACCAAGAATCAAACTCATGACCTTGTGCTTGCCAGGCAGGCACTATGCCACTGAGCTATAAATCCCCACCCCTATCCCATCTTTTGTATGCTGGTCACATCTCCTGGGATCCCAGAAGTTCCACATACAGGGTCCTGAGTGTTATTTGGCACTGTCCTGGGATCTTACATAATTGACAGGTGCCACTTATTTCTCCAGCCAGCTTGCCACACCCTACCTCCTATATCATTCGCATTTGGGATAGGCAGGAGGATCACAGCAAGTTCGAGGCCAGCATGGGCTACATAGAAAGACCCTGCCTCAAAAAACACTAAAAGTTTAAAAAATAGAAAGAGAAAGGCTGAGGATATAGATCAGGGTGAAGGACCTGGGTTGAATCCTTTAAAAATAATGGAAAACATCAGAAATAGGCATACTATAAACACCCAACCAAGCAACATGAAACAGCAATGGAATCCAGAAACCCTGGCAGGAAATCTCAGCATAGAGCTTTGAAGCACACTTAGAAAAGTGGGTTGTGGGGACAGCGTCTTGGAGAATAAAACATACTCCTGTGTGCTGCGGAAGAGACAGAGGCACGAGTGCTTTGTGATCAGCTTGAATCTTGAATGTCCTCTAAAGGGTGTAAGTGGAAGCCTTGTCCCCACCCAGGGGGCTGTGGGGAAGTCATGAGACATTTAGGAGGTGGGGCCAGTGGAAAGAAGCTGGGTGATGACTGGGGGTGCACCTCTGAAGGAGGTGCTAGACTCCAGCCCCTCTTCTTTCTCTGCTGTGAGGTGAGCAGGCCTCTTCTGCTCTGGCTTCCACCATGAGGAACTCTTCTACTATTGACCCAAAACAACAGGGCCAAGAGACCAGGGACAGACCTCTGAAACCTTTCTTCCGTTTAAGTGGATTATCTTGGCTTTTTTTGTTTTTTGGTCTTGTCAGTAACATAAATCTGACCAGCACAGATAGAAAAGAAAGGTAAGCAGACACTTCAGGAAAGACAAAAAGTTCTACATGAAAGTAATGAGTCCTACAAAATATATGAAGCAACTGATGGAATAGTTAAAGCAGTGCTTTCTGAAACAACCATGTCAAAACTTTTGGTTAGGAGGGAAGATAACTGATATAATTCTTTGGTTATAATCTATGAGTTTCTTTTGTTTCTTTCTCTTTTTGAGACAGGGTCTCACTATGCAGTTCAGGCTGGCCTTGAACTTGCAATGATCCTCCTGCCTCAGCCTCTCCACTCCTGGGATTACGGGCATGTGCCACCATGCCTGGGTCTATATGAGTTCTTTTAAAATAAATACATAAATAAAATTTAGGGGGTGGTACTAGGGATTGAACCCAAGGCCTTCACACTGAACTACACCTCCAGGCCTTTTAAATATTTTATTTTGAGACAGGGTCTCCCTAAATTGCCCAGACTGGGGTCAAATTTACTATCTTGCCTCAGACTTCCCGAGTGATGGTATTACAGGCATGGAGCATCATGCCCAGTTTATATTAAGTTTTCTGACTTTGTTTTCCTTTGATTTTTTTTTTTCCTTTGATTTTAAAGATTACTCTTTCCCTACAGACTAGAATCAAAGACTTTCCTATGGTTAGAGGGGCATAGCATAGTGGTATCATGCTTGCCTAGTAGGGGAAAGGGCCATGGATTTGATCCCCTACACTACAAAAGAAAGTACAGGAAAAAAACAAACACATCTTAAAAATATGCTTAGAAAAAAAAAATATGCTTAGGTTTTTAACATCCCCCAACTTGACCCCAGTACTGGGGACTGAACCCAGGGATTGCAGAGCTATACTTGCAGCACTTTTTACTATTTTGAGGGCCTGGGATATTGCTCAGTGGCACAAGTGCCTGCCTGGCAAGTTCAAGTCCTGAGTTCGATACCTGATACCAAAAATTATACCCGATACCAATATATATGTATATATTTTGTCTTTTTGAAACAGGGTTTCACAATGCAGTTCAGGCTGGCCTTGAGCTCACTTTGTAGCCCTTGTTTAAGCTTTCAACAGTGTATTTTGACTTCTGAAAAAGGTGACTTTATCACCTAAAAATGTAAATGTATTCCCTTTACAAACATACTCAATAATTTTTTAAAGAGAACCCTAACGTCTTAATGTTCTTCACAGTACTTTTCTTTCCTACTTTAAAAGGGATCTAATTTCTTTTTTTGGGGGGGCGCATATCGTGGATCGAACTCAGCACCTTGCGCTTGCCAGGCAAGTGCCTGTGCTGCTGAGCTATACCCCGGCCCCCTTTTTCCTTTTTTTAAAAAAGAAGAACTTTTTTTTTTAAAGAAAAACTTGTTTTGAGGACTGAATACTTACCATAAGAATAGAATGAAGGAGTTCTATTTATTCCTACCAGTTCTGGGACAAACCCGGTACTGTGACTTTTTAAGAAAACACATGACTTTAAAGCACTTATCAGAAGCCCGAGTGCAGTCGGTTGGTGACTCCTGGTGGGAGTGTAAATGGCAATCCCTGTGGCAGTTGCATCACATCTGGGCAGTGGGTGGAAACTCCCTTCTTTTTTTACGAGTAGGAAAACTTATTGGAGAACAGGGACAGCTGAGACAGGAGGGTCCCGAGTGGGTTACCCTGGCCCTCCCTTCTTCCGTGCAGCCCGGAAGGTGCGAGAATTTATCGGCGTGTAAGCGCGTCGGAAAGACGAAGTTGGCTGGCGAAACTGCCCTCTGCCCGGCCCTGGCCAACGTATCTTTGGGAGGCAGGGAGGCGGAGGGCGGCGTAGGGAACGCGGACCTTGGGCAGGCAGGTTTGCGGCAGAGCGAGGAGGGGGAGGTGGCGCTCGCGGCGCCCCGATCCCGCGGGCAAGGCCGCCGCTGCCCTCGCCTCGGAGCCGGGCGGGGGCTTCTCCAGCCGAACCCCACGCGCCCAGCCCTAGGCGCCGTCCTCCACGAGCCAGGGCTGAAGAAAGGGAAACACCCCCGGAAAGATGCCTGGGCCTCCTCATCTATGGGAGGATAGTAAAACACCAGCAAATCACGGCCAAATCTGTTCGTACAAACGGACCAGTCTGGCCCAGGAAGCGCTTGCGTTTTCATCGGGAATTGGCAGAACGACTTGGACTCTTAACCTTTCACTAGGGGACGGCCTAGCTCTACCTTAAGGAAAAAAGGTACAAACAGCTTCCTGGTCCCGCATTTCGGGATCCTTTCGGCCAGTTCCTCGGCGTAGTTTCCGCTTCCGGTCACGTGGCTCCGGTAACCGGTCACACCTTCCCACCGAGCCCCCTTCCCAGTCCACGGACCGACACGTCACTCCTCGGCCCTCAACCAAACTTCTCCGAACGAGTTCTTTCCGCGCGCTTCACTCTCACTCGCCGGCCTATAATGACCTATGGGAGCTTATAGTCCCGCCCCTAGAGCGCTAAGTGATAGCTTTACTGACCAGTTGAGAAGTGAAAGTGCGGTTTGATCTCGGCCTCCGAATCTGACTGACAGGGGCATAGTCCTATCCCTTCTCCGAAGTGGCGTATTGGCCGGAAGCCACCCAATGGCGCGCGGTCCGGGAGGTGGAGCCGGCCCCCAGGGTTGGGTGCGCCACTGAACGGATGGCCGTGGTAGCGGAGCGGATTCCTAAGGAACGCTGGCCGGTGGAAAAGGCCGTAGGCTGTAAGTTGAGAGCTGCAGGTACTTTCCAGGATGTTGACGGGCCCGAGGGAAGCGCAGGAAGCAAGACTCTAGAAAGTGGTGGAGAGCGGAGTTTCGGGCCTTTGGAGGAGGGGGCGTGGAGTGTGGAGTGCGGACCTCGTGGAGCGGAAGGGTGCGGCGGGCCGGGGACGGAGGCTAGGGAGGGTCGTGGGGATGGGGCTGCACTCAGGTCGGGAAGGCCGGGGAACGCCTGGGCCCAGCAGCTAGGGCGTAGTGTATCGACGAGGAGGGTGCCGAGGCTGTGGCGGGTCCTGCGGCGGGTGGAGTCTCGTGTCCCTCCCGAGGGGTGGGCGGAGGGCCGGTGGGACCTGCAGGGCCGAGGCAGAGCGCGGTGCGGGAGGGAGGGGCGAGGGACGCGGCCGGGCGGGTTGCAGCCTCGAGTCTAGACTCGGTGGGGCCGGCTGTCAAAGCTTGCCGCGCACACTTGAGCAGGCGTCGTCCTGAGCGTTTTAGGAAAAGCGCGTTTGCCGTTGTTTGCGTCGGCGGTGTGCAAAAATGGCCAGAGAGCGCACGATGAAAACTCCCAGAAAGCCTGGCACGACATTGCAGTCGCCCGCGCTCGCTTTTCCTGCGCTGGCGCTCGCTGCCTCCGTGTCTCTTCCTCCAGGTGTGTGGGTCGTATCAGCTCGGTGCTGCCGAGTGTGTTTCTGTTTTAGCTGCTCCTGAAAGCAGGCACGGACTTGAGAGAGAGGGCTAGATTGCTGGCTTCTTGGAGTTAGGTTTTTGATTGCACGATCAGGTTCGCCTTGGGGATTATAATTAAACACACAGCTAACGCGCCTCCCCTGGGACAGTTAATTATAGAAAAGGTGTTTGACTGCTCAGTATTGGTGCGAGAAATGTATGATTCTTCATGCCTTCTACTTAGACCAGTGTGAGTTTTTTCTTCCTTTTCTCTTGGTAATAGTGAGAAAAAGATCAGGAGCAATAAAAATTCCTTTTTTCCCTGCATAGTTTTGAACAACGTTACATGTCTTTTGTTACGTTCTTTATCCCTTAGGCCTTGACTAGCTTATCGTTTAATATGGTAGTTGTGTCTTGTACTGAAATAGGTAACCTGCTTATGGTAAAGACGTGTTATATAACTCTCGTCCATCCAGTGGTTACCATTATGAACTGCTTTATTTAAGAACATTTTTTGTTCGTTTTGGTTTTTGAAGGCTTTGTAGTGCAGCCTGGCCGTGAACTCACTGTGCAGCCCAGGCTGGCCGTAAACTCAGGGTGATCCTTTTGCCTTCCCCTCCCAAGTGTTGGGAATACCGGCAGTATGCCCAGTTCATTCTGCACTGTTGACAGACCGCTTTCCTTAACATTTTAGTCTAGCCCCGCTTTTCCCTTTCGATAGGAAAAATTTATTTTCCTTTCAGATTCTTATCTGATACCATAAACTGTGTCACGGAATCAGTCACTTAGATCAGTTTCAGTTACAGAGACGCGTTGAAACAGATGATTTGAAGTGGAAGTAGAGCTGAACAGTAATGACAGTGTGACAGATGGGATTAAAAGTACAGTGGCGTTGATTGTACTTCTCCCTTGAGTTGCATGACTGCAACCTCATTATCAGTCATATTCTTTCTTTTTTTCTGAAGTGCTGGAGACTGAGCCCAGGGCCTTCACATGTCCCCAGGCCTCTAAAAAAAATTTTTTTTCTTTAAATTTTGAGACAGCATCTTGCCAAGTCACTAAAGTATGTGGGCTGGGCTTGAACTTTTGATCCTCCTGCCTCAGCCTCTCAGAGTGCTAGGATTACAGGGGCCCATCCCTGTGCCTGGCCAGTCATACTGTTTAGCTGATTCTGTAACCCCAATGAAGTCTGAAACAGTATGGAGCTTCTCGTCAGTCACTTAGCTGAGGCTTAAATTTAGGGCTGGAAATTGTGCTGAGAAGTCATGACTTCTCTTTATGTCTTTCTGCTTTCACTTCTGTACCTACTTTTCCCCTCGAATATATTCTGAGCTTTTCTGGAATGTCCTGTTTTTCTATATCATTAATTCCATCTTTTGTATTTTTGGACCTTTTCCTTCCACCCGTTTTTCCCCTTTACTTACATTGCTGCTTTACTCCTGTTGTGCTTGTATACTTGTTAGTTGTGAGGGTGTGGAAACAGAATTATGGGTGGGATAGTTTGATTACTCCTTTTCAGTCTTGACACATGGACCTGACTTGTGTCTGCTTCCTTGCCAGTATGTTATACTTCAGGCAAGGCTTAGAAATGGGTATGACCCTTTGTGATGCTTTTCCTAGCTAATATGTCCATTGTGGGTCTCCTACCATAAAATAGGAATGTTAATGTGTTAAATAAATTGAAGGTGTTCAGTATTGTAAGGTCTTAACTTTTCCATTTTAGCTGTTTGTGTGTCATCTGTTGCCACCTGTTAATGACAAGATGACTAAGCTTGGATTTTTGCGGTTGTCCTATGAGAAGCAGGACACACTTCTGAAGCTTCTCATTCTGTCAATGGCTGCTGTATTATGTGAGTGTGCATGTGGATCTTTATTTCTTTGGGAAGGGGATGAAGAAAATCTTGAGAAAAATTGAAAATAATTTTCTTAAAATGCCTTCTGCTTTTAGCAGATTTTTGTGGGTATTTTGTTTAGTTTTCTTGTTTTGGGGCAAAGAGTCTTGCTTTGTAGTTCCGGCTGGCCTTGAATTCACTTTATAGCTCATGCTGGCCTCGAACTCATGGTGATCCTCCTGCATCAGCTTCCCTAGTGCTAGGATTATAGGTATGCACTAGCACACCTGATTTAGCAGATTATTATTTTTTTTTTTTTACTATTCCACGTAATTTTGTGAAGACAAAATAAAAGAAACGTAAGGAATATGAAAAGGCTAGTGGATATCTGGGAAGCATGTTGTGCAATTTCTGCTTTCTCATAGTTGAAAGATACTGGGGACCACTGACTACTGATTTTTGTAAAAGACAGTTTTCTAGGTGGCTACCTTAGTGCTATTTTTTGTTTTTTCTTTTTGAGACAAGGTCTTGCTATAGTTCAGCTGACCTTGAGTTCACTGTGTAGCCTGGACTGGCCTTGAACTCGCATTATCCCCCTGCCTTAGCCTTCCGAGTAATGGGAACACAGGTATGCTGTGCCTGGCTTATTGAAAGTCTTTTGAGAACTCAATTTTGATTTTAGATTTTCTGACTTCATGAGTCATAAATATAGTTTTGATTGACATGCCTCATGGTTCGCCAAGGTTAAGGTTAGTGCTAATATGTCTGTGTATCTGTTTATACCATGTAAAAGATGACTGTGTAAGTTGTGCTCAGTATTGATAGGTGAGTATAATGTTATAGGCTTTGTATAATATATTAAGTAGTTAAATGTGTCTTACCTAAGTGGAAAATGTAGATGGCATTTTGTTTTGTCTGTATATGGGGAGAGATGGATAAAGATTTTATTCACAGATTATTTTATATTTTCTGTGAGCCTGTGCTGCATAATTTTATTTTCTCTGTCAGGCTACTATTCATCTGCTATTGCTCTGTCATTTCACATTACCATAAAAATATTCATTCTCTGATTTTTATAGCTTTCTCCACTCGTCTCTTTGCTGTCCTGAGATTTGAAAGTGTTATCCATGAATTTGATCCGTGAGTACCTTTGCTTAGTCTGGTATTATTTGGGAGGCATTCATATTCATGGGTTTCAGATTAAATTCCAGTCAGCTCTCAGGTGAAAAGGGTGTTTTCAGTGCCCTTAAGGAAAGAATCCTTCAAGTTTTCCACAGGACATAATCATCTCTTTGAAACATTTCCATTGCAATTGTTCAGGTGAGTCTTACAAACAGAAAATGTGAGTGGAATTGCTGGTATGTCTAAGATCTGCCTAGGCCAACAAAAGCCTGGCTTTTCAGTTTGGTCAAGCGTTAGTGATATAGATTGTGGTATATATACAAATTGTGAACTTGTGATCCATGACTGTTTTTGTTGTTTTCTGTTTAACTGTTTATAAGATGGAAATTGGGCATATTATTAAATTCTAAAACATTTAGGAATACAATATTAAAGCTGAGTTTGATTAGGGATTTTCTTTATTAGATTAAAAAAGGTATAAGTGAAAACCTTCTGTGTTTTTTTTTTTTTTTTTTTTTTTGTGGTGGTGCTAAGGATTGAACCCAGGGAATGCTGAGCTATATCCTCAGCCCTTTTTATTCTTTTATTTCCAGAGAGAATCTTGCCAAGTAACCAGTGTAACTATCATCTCCTTTTAGAGAAAAGATCAAAAGTGATTTTTTTTTTTTTTTTGTGGTGGTGCTAGGGGTTGAACCCAGGCCTTTTGCCTGCAAGGCAAGAACTCTACCACTGAGTCAGATCCCTGGCCCAGTTTTCCTTTTTTTTATATTTGTGTTTTTTTTTTTTTTTTTTTCCAAGCTGAGGAATAAACCCAGGGCCTTGGTACTGAGCTACACCCTCAGCCCCTTTTTAAAATTTATTTTGAGACAGAGTTTCACTAAGTTGCCCAGATTAGGCTCAGATTTGTGATCCTCCTGCCTTAGCCTCTCAGAATGCTTGGATTATAGGCATGTGTCACCATGCCTGGCTCACAGTAGTTTCAATAACTAACATTTACTGAGCATTTATTTTATTTCAAGAAGTATTTTACGAATGATTGTAAGCCCTTACAACAATCCTATGAGATGTAGCTAATGCCATCCCTTTTTACATATAAGGAGTCTTAGGCTGGGAGAAGTTGTTCAAGGTTTTACACTTAGTAAATAGAGGAATCAAGATTTGAATGAGTTCTATTTCTTGAGATTGCAGTCACTATGTTATGTTTTCTAAAATTAGGGCTTATGAAAAGCCAGAAGCATAGATTCTTAAAAATCACATATTCACCTGTGGAACATTGAGTCAAAAGTTTAATGCCTATACCTGTGTACAGATTTATCATTTTGCTTTGTGTAGATACAGCTGAATGAATTTAGAGACATCACAGATACTCTCTCTGGAGCCTCCAAAATCAATGCATATTTTTTCTCTTGATTGAGGAAACTGATCCTTTTCTTGCATGCTTTTTTGGTGGGGGGGGGAACAAAAAATGAAACCAAGAACCCAACCTGCCAAGACGGCAACGGGCCAACGAACCAAAACCCCGGCCCCCCCTTTTTTCTTGATGACATTATTAGAATAACTTCTTTCTTACACCCTTTAGGTGAGCAAGTATTAAGGTGAGAGGGTCAAGGAGAACAAAGGAATATGCTCTGCAATCACAGAACTGGAAGGAATCATAAAGATTATGTGATTTGACCCTTCCTTTTGCTGAGGAGGAGACAGGCCCAGAGTGTATCTCTGTTCCAAACTTGTCTCACTAACTTATACTTCTCTCTCTGTCTGCCTCCTGCTGGGAGGTAGAGGACACCATTCTGACATCTCAACTGCTTGTTCCCCTCAAACCTTCTGTCTCTGACAGTAATCAAAATAACATTTATCAGTGATGAACAGAAGGATAGAGATTTGTGTCATTTGTTGATTCTACTTAGTTCAGATGCCAAAACTTGACTGACCAGAGAAAAAATAGGCTTAGGGAGGTGGGCAGGGAGGATATTTGCAGTTTTTTTTTTTTTTTTTTTTTTTTTTTTGAGACATAGTCTCACTCTATAATTCAGGTTGATCGTGAACTCACTATGTAGCCCAGGCCGGCCTCAAACTTTAGGCAATCCTTCTGCCCCAGCCTCGTGAGTGCTGGGATTACAGGCGTGCACCACCATGTCCAACGTTGGCAGGAAGGATATTTAGTCATTTAGGTAATTAAACTATTCCTAGTTTGACACACACTTCACACTTCTTTTTTTATGCCTTTCTTCCTTTCTTTTTTTTTTGGTCTTTTTGAGACGGGGTTTTGTTGTGCAGTTCAGGCTAGCCTTGAGCTCACTTTGTAGCCCAGGCTGGTCTTGAACTCCCAACAATCTTCCACTCCCTGCCTCTTTTTTTTTTTTTTCTTTTTAAATGGAAAATTTGTAAGGGCTTACCTAATTTAGACCTGAAGAACTGTCTTCCCTGTATAACACTAAGCATTTCATATCAGATGTTGTTTATGTAATCTGTATTTTTTGCTACAATGTGGGTGGCATTCACCTGTATTTGAAATTACATGAGTAGACTTTGTTACAAGTTTAACCCATTAAATAGTTTGTGTGACAATGTGAATTGAAACGTTTTCACCCCGCACACCGTGTTATAGCAGCGTCTTTAAAGGTGCTCATCCCTTGAAGTTATCCATGTGTCCTTGTGTGTGGTTCAGAAATCTTTTTTGTGTGTTCCTTGTCACTTAAAATGGGCGGAATTTACTGGTGCCTACATCTTAGTGGTCTTGTCTTACGGGCACTTAAGTTCTCTTGCTAGATCTTGTCACCTGCCACATGCAAGCCTGGTAAGTTGTCCTGCTTGAATGCTTGTGGTGACATTGAGCTCCAAGTTCATTTCCTTAAGAGAAAAGCAATATTTTAGTTGAGACATGCATGGCGTACAAATAAAAGAGTTACATGGTACTATAGTGAGTTTTGGTACCAAACTAACCTATTCAGGTAATAAGTTCCTCAGTACTACAACCTGAAGAGCAAAATTCACTTCAAATTAGTAAAGTTTTTGCCTGGGAAGAAGAAGAGACACAGACTTCTTTTTTCCTGCTACAGGTACTTCAATTATCGGACTACCCGGTTCTTAGCTGAGGAGGGATTTTATAAATTCCATAACTGGTTTGATGACCGGGCCTGGTACCCTTTGGGACGAATCATTGGAGGAACAATTTACCCAGGTGAGAGGAACAGGATTCTTTTTTAAAAAATAAGGTGTAGTATTTGTACATTACAGAGCAACTTTTTTTTGTTTTGTTTTGTTTTTTTTCCGGTACGGGGAATCAAACTCAGGACCTTGTGCTTGCCAGGCAGGCACTGTGCTGCTGAGCTAAATCCCCAGTCCCTGGAGAGCAATTTCTTTTATTTCTAATAGCTTCATTTCATGACACTTGTAATTTCATATTGATTACAGATTTCCAAAAGTGGGTCTTATGTAAGACAGGAGAACGTGTGTGAGAGAACAGAGAGGGGTAGTTTCTCATACATTCCGGATTTCCCATTGAATCCTTAGAGGAAAAAATTAGAGGCCTGCTGCAGTTGCTGTGAGGGTGTTCTGGTGGTTTGTCAAGATCTCTGTTGTCACTTTATTGATAATTAAATTGGTCCCTTCTCTTTCGCTTAAGTTCTTTATGTTACCTGGACAACCTAATGGAGTTTCTTCTTCCTGTTGCAGGCTTAATGATCACCTCTGCTGCAATCTACCATGTTCTTCATTTTTTCCACATCACCATCGACATTCGGAATGTCTGTGTGTTCCTGGCCCCTCTCTTCTCCTCCTTCACCACCATCGTCACGTACCACCTTACCAAAGAGCTCAAGGTGAAGGATTGGGGGTGACAGGAGGCTGGGGAATGAATGCTGTTGAATCTCATGAGTAGATAGATGGTGGAGGGTGGGAGACTGACAGCCTCACAGCAGGGAGAAAGAGAGGCTAAGGACAGTGTCTGCTGGGCTGAATTAATTGGGTTTAGTCCAAGCCTTCCCTTGTATATGTGGTTTCTTTTCCTTAGCAAGTGTTTGTTCTTAGGAGAGGACATTTGAAAGTCAAATGTAAATTGCTACATAAAGGGGAAATAAACCATGTGAAATGGAAATGTTAGGTTTAGATTGTTTTTGTTTTGTTTTGTTTGTGATGGAGATCAAACCTAGGGTCCTACACATGCTAGGCAAGTGCTGTACGAAGGAGCTGTACCTGAGATTTAGATTTTGAAGCCATGAAAATATATGGGAAAGGAGAAAAAAAAAAATCTGTGTGAATTTTTAAAAGTATTAGTTCTTTCACACATAAGCACTTAGCAATTATTTGTTTGTTTGTTTAAAACTCCTAAAACATTTGGCTTCGGTAATTGACTCTATAATGCTGACTCCTCTTTCTTCCAGGTTTTAGCTTTGCTAACCCTGGTTCCCTAGAATCTGTTCTTAGTGGCTTGGTGTTAGGGAGATACCTGAGCTGATAATCGAGTAGGAGGGCTTGAGAAGCCTGAATTTACTTTGGAAAACTTTTCATCCTTCTTCTTGTTGCCCTTGTCCCAGATTGGCTCTTAACAACACGCAGGTCCTTTTTCTTTTGGGGTGTGGGTTATATTTTGTTTCTCCTTTTTTCTGAGCTCAAAGGTTGCTTGGTGATATTCCAACTTTATTACCTAGGCTCCTGACATCTTCAGTCCAGGTGGGTTGGCTTTTTAAGTTAAATAATTTTCTCCCTTTGATTGTCATTGCGTGGCTTTTAGATATGTGATTGGTGTTCAATACGTTGTGTAACCCTTGTTAGAGGAAGAGGACTGATGAGCCTGGTAATACTTGCAGCCACAACGCCTATTCCGGGGCAAGCTTTGATGGTGGGTAGCACACAGGGTTTATCTGTCTTTCGCATCTGAATACTCAGTTTCAGGCTTGGTGTCATGGGGAAATGGTTGTGAAGATTTTTAGCTTTTTTGTGCTGTAAGCATTTCTACCATTTTAGCATCTCATATCTGCCTTGAAAATGATTGGATTTTCTCTGGGTCCATTATAAACAGAATGGACTAGTGGATCCTCTGTTCTTTAATAGGTATATTGGTGTTAACTGCTTATTGTTCATCTTTTCTTAATAGGATGCAGGGGCTGGGCTTCTTGCTGCTGCCATGATTGCTGTAGTTCCTGGATATATCTCCCGATCTGTGGCTGGCTCTTATGATAATGAAGGTAAAACTTTTAAAATACTGGAGGGGATTGTTTAGGGGGTCTGTTTTCTTTATATTCTAATAGAGCTTCACAAAGTGAAGTACAGCTTGGGTCCAATAATAGCAATAATAAAACAGGGACCTGGTGAGATGAGAAATGGCAGGAAGAGATCAAATTCACATTCTCCTCCTCTAGGAAGATAGCTGGAAACTTGTTGCAAGCCTTTGGTTTATCTCTGGACACAGCATTAACTGTTTCATTTTTCTAAATAAGGCATATAGGTGTCCTTAAAATCGTGATTTTTTTTTGTTTGTTTTTTTTTGTTTTTTTTTGTTTTTCTCCGGTACCGGGATTTTTTTTAACTTTTTTTTTTTTGGGACAGGATCTCACTGTACAACTCAGGCAGGTCTTGAATTCGCTATGTACCCGAGGCTAGCCTCAAATGATTATCCTCCTGCCTCTGCCTCCTAAATACTGGGCATGTGCAGCCATCCTCAGCTCTTTATTGATTTATTTTTAATTCAACATGTATTTATTGAATGTTATTGGGAAAACATAGGGTTAAATATTATAAAGATTGACAATGCATAAGACTTTTGGCTCAAAATTAAGAAATTGAAAGGGTAGATAATAAGATCATGTTGGCCTATAATCTATGTTAAGGAAGATAAAAATGGATATATAAAAATAACTCCAATGATAGGCAGATAATGCTGCATGCCGTGATAGAAATATGGACAGAGTACTGTGGGAATATAGTACAAGGAGATATTAATTTCAATTTGGGAATCAGGAATGCTTTTTTGGAAGTAGTTGAAGTTGAACTAAGCCCTGAAGTTAGACTCCATTAGGCAAGTATTAAGGAAGGCAGCAGTCAGTGTAACAGCCAGCTTGTGTTCACATGCAGAGGTAGGATAGTGCATGATAGTATGAGATGTCTTTAGGACTAGCAGGAAATTTAATTCCTGGAAAGAACAATAATAATAATTGCTGACATTTACTATATGCTTACCGTATGCTAGGTACTGTTCGAAGTGTTTTATGTGAATTGATTGTGTTTGTCTTCACAATAGTGATGTTAAATAGATTCTATTACAGGCTCTTTTTACAGGAAGCTGAGACAAGGGGCAGTAAAATAATTTGTCTAAAACTACAATATTATTAGGTCTGAGATATGAATTTAAATAGTCTATTTCAGAGCAGTTTTTTAACCACTGCGCTACTGTGACCTCTTCTTGAATTTGTGGTGTGTTTTTTTCTTCAGGGATTGCCATCTTTTGCATGCTACTCACCTACTACATGTGGATCAAGGCAGTAAAGACTGGTTCCATCTACTGGGCAGCCAAGTGTGCCCTCGCTTATTTCTACATGGTAACTTTTTCACTTTTTTCCCCCTGTGCTGGGAATGAAACCTATCAGCCATCCTTGGCAAGTGTGTTGTCACTGAACTGTGCCACCAGCCCTTGTACATGTTTTTAATTTCTTTTTTTTGTTTTTTGTTTTTTTGAGACAGGGTTTCGCTATGTAGTTTAGGTTGGCCTTTGAGCTCACTTTGTAGCACAGGCTCATCTCAAACTCACAACGATCCTCCTGCCTCAGCCTCCTGAGTGCTGGCATTACAGGTGTGCACCACCACGCCTGGTGGGGAATGTTTTTAATTTCTAAAGTTCTTCAAATACTGTACATCCTATGAGTACATGTTGGTTGGCCAATCTTTCCTAGTATGTTGCCTTTAAATTTTTTCTTTTCAGTATGTTTCTTCTGGTCAGTCTTACATACATAGACTTTCTTTCCTTAAGATTCTAGTTGCTCACATATCCTTAGATGCTCTGTGGGACAGTACAGTGTACTATGTAGATTAACCCTGAGGTTTGGGTATGTCTTGCTATACGATCATAATGTCGGCAGCCGTAAAGGAGGGGATTAACTTGCGGTAATGTGTTTGAACATGATTTTTTCTACTTAAAAAATGAGCTCTTTATATTCTTTAAGCCACTTAGAGTAAAGTTTATAGCTAATGTAAAGAGATGTTTTTCAAAAAGTTCATGGCTGCCCAGGTGTTGTGGCTTATGCCTGTAATCCCAGCACTCTGGAAGCCTTTGGTAGTAGGATCACAGGTTTGAGTCCAGCCTCAGCAACTTAGCGAGATTCTATGTCAAAATTTTAAAAGGGCTGGGACTGTAACTCAGTGTGAAGGCGCTGGGTTCAGCCCTCAGTGCTGGGGGTGTGGGGAGTCACAGGTGCTATCCTAAGGCAGGGATGGTGAACCTTTAGAACTTTCAGGGAGAAGAAACATCTGATTGCAGCACATGTGCCATAGGTTTGTTGCCACTGTCCTAAGGTATAGTGGTGGTGCTCAGAGGAGGAACTCTTCCTTTCTATCCCGCTGTAGGTCTCTTCCTGGGGAGGTTATGTGTTCCTGATCAACTTGATCCCTCTTCATGTCCTGGTGCTGATGCTCACAGGCCGTTTCTCCCACCGGATCTACGTGGCCTACTGCACCGTTTACTGCCTGGGCACCATTCTTTCCATGCAGATCTCCTTCGTGGGTTTCCAGGTGAGCCTTAGACTGAGTAGGACTTTCAGCTTCTTCTACTTTTTTTAAGTGGGTCTAACTAGATTGATTTGTCTTGGATTGTGTTAAGAGTAAGAAATATTTATAGCTTTGATCTTAGACTGCTTATGTTAACTGAAGCAACAAAATTACTGTCATTAAGTCTAGGAGTGTGTTAAGATTTGCTCAGTGATTTTTTAATTTAATGGCTCTTACTTTGCCTTAGGTTTGTGGGAGGGAAAGGGATTTTTTTTTTAATGGTTCCAGGAATCAAACTCAGGACCTCATGTTTGTCAGGTAGGCGCTGTGCCATTGAGCTATATCTGCGGCCCTGAAAGGTATGTTATGGTTGAGCTGTGTTAATGTTACTGATGAAAGTTATAATTAAAAAAACCCCCATAATATCCAGCCCCTTTTAATGCTAATGACCTCATTTAGTAGCAGTGCATCTGATCTTAATAGGACCTATGTGTAAAACCTTCAGGGAGCAGAGCACAAACCTTTTAACCATATTACTCTACCCAAAAGGGCAAATAGGCAGCTCTTAAAGAATAATATGATGTGTTTGATTTCTCCTTAAGAGTCTTATAAAAGTGGAATCTTTATTTAGAGGTGAGCAAATATTTCTTTATTGATTAACCTACTATTTGTAATTTGCTAATCACTGTGAGACATGAGAGTAAACATATGTCCTGTTCCTTAAGGAAGTTACAGTCTTACAGGAAAAGATGTCTTGCAGCTGGCTGTAACCTACAGTATATTGGCTGTAGGGTGTTTTGTTTTTTTCCTTTTTGAGACAGGGTCTTACTGTGTAGTCCAGGCTAGCCTTGAAGTCGGTATGTAGCTCAGGCTGGTATAACCATTAGTAGCATATGGAAACTTGTTTAAACACAAGTTCTGGAGCCCTGTTACACACCTCCTATCTTAGTTACTTTCTTGTTGCTGGGACAAAATACTCACACCTTCCCCCAATCCAACACCCACAAGATAAAAGAGGAAAGGTTTATTTTAGTGCACAGTTTGTAGAGGTTTTAGTTCATAGTCAGTTGGCTGTAAGGCAGGGCAGAGGGGCAAGAGTTCATAGCTTGGCAAGCAGGAAGCAGTGAGCACTCAAGACAAGACGGATATATATCTCCAGACCACACGCTCAGTGACCACCTCCTCCCACAGGCTTCACCATCCAGCATCACACCCAGCTATAAAGCCTTCAGACTAATCCAATATTCTATCCCCGTGACCCAGTCACCTCCCAAAAGCCCCAGCTATGAGCACACGAGGCTTTGAGGGGCCATCTACATATAAATCAACACTTTCTGAGTTAGAGACTTGGAGTGGGGCTCAGCAACTTGTTTGAACACCCTCACTGGTTATTGTTCAAATACAGTTGGAGAATCAGTGGTCTAGAAAAGATCGAGAGTGTTGTGGAACATAGTCGGGAGTATTTGGTTTGGCAGCTAGGAGGAGAGTGTTTGCATTATATCTTGAATAAGGAGAATTTCACTTGATGGAAATTTTGGGGAAATTGCAGTCTGGACTAAGGAAATAGCTGGAGCAAGAGTAGAGAAGTGATGATGTGGTATGTGTTATGCTTTGAGGGACTCTTAGAGAGTCTTCAGAAAATATGGCAGGTGTGTTAAATCCTTCCTTAGATTGGTCCTCATGAAACTTAGAACCCATTTGACCTTTTGGGCTGCACTAGATCAAGATAATGAAGATCGGGCTGGATTTGACTCATTTACTTTTTCCTCTAATGTTATTACCATGCATAATGCCTTTTCTTCTATAGCCTGTCCTTTCGTCAGAACACATGGCAGCCTTTGGAGTCTTTGGTCTCTGCCAGATTCACGCTTTTGTGGATTACCTGCGCAGCAAGTTGAATCCACAGCAGTTTGAAGTTCTCTTCCGGAGTGTCATCTCCCTGGTAGGGTTTGTCCTACTCACCATTGGAGCGCTCCTCATGCTGACAGGTAGTATAAAGCTTCACAGCTTATAGTATAAAATGCAAATGGGTACAGACACAGAGTAAACTCCAGAAAGACAGGATATTTTCTGACCACAGAAGATTCTTTTCCATTTGTCTTTTTTGTTTCAAACACAAAAGTCACTTTTTCACATTCAGTCCACTTGTTAGCTCAGTGTTGGGATTCAGTGTATCAGAGAATGTTGTATTAGAGCTGTTTCTAGTCCCATCTGGTAAAAGGATTGTATCTTACCTTGGTAATCTTTAAGAGATTTTTTTCCTTTTCTTTCTTACTGACTGGGAGGTAAAAATCCTTCTAGTATTTGCTATACTTTACATTATGGCGTTTGTCTGTTCTGTGGAAACTAAATCACAGCTCTTTAGTGTGGTGAGCATGCCATATTTTCCTGCTCCATTTTTCCCACTTCTGCTTTTCAGGGGTTATTTTGATTTTGCCCAAGCCTCTATGTTGGCTAATTCAGAGCAAGACTGGAAGATGTAGTCATGTAGTGTCTGGAGTGGGCCTTGGTTTGACCATATTCAGCCTAAAACTCTTCCAGGAAGTTTTCCTGTCTCTGTTCTCTGAATTTATATACAAGCCAGTTTTATTCTGCTTGCTATTTTGACAAAAGTTTTCTCAAGCTTGGAAGAAAACAAGTGAAACTCTTAAGTATATTGGTGGCATTGAAGCAAAAACTTAGTCCTTCTTTGTCTTTGAATCTATTAAAATAGGATGTTGTAATTAGTTAGGATAAGATGTTTGTTTTAAGAGCGTATGTGAAATATTTCTTGTCTCTTTGCTGCCAGGCAAAATATCTCCGTGGACAGGGCGTTTCTATTCGCTGCTGGATCCTTCTTATGCTAAGAACAACATTCCCATCATTGCTTCTGTGTCTGAACATCAGCCCACCACCTGGTCCTCCTACTATTTTGATCTGCAGCTCCTCGTCTTCATGTTTCCAGGTCTGTCTGCCTTGTATTCAATTGCCTGCATTCTTGTTTTGTTTGCCTATTTATGCCGTATAGGACAGGGGATGGCTAAGCACATTCAGAAGTCAGAAGTTGAAGTTACAGTTGTTGGGAAGTTCAGAACTGCAGCATTTTTTATTCATTTGTGTTGTAATTTAAAATCCAACTTCTAATTTTTGTTTTTATTTTTTAGTACTCTTATTTCACATCAGTTTTCTTGTATTGAAGTTCCACAATGGGAACTGCTGAGTGCAAAGGGTTTTCATTATCTTATGGCCAGTCCACTTCACTTAGAATTTACCAGTGTTAGTAATCTTTCTGTTTTATAAAATAACTTTTACTTTTTTAAATTGTGACAGTAGTTTGTATATTATATTTTTTACTTTTTTGTTTTTTGTCTTTTTGAGACAGGGTCTTACTATGCAGTTCAGGCTGGTCTTGAACTCACTTTGTAGCCCAGGCTGGCCTCAAACATGCAGCAATCCTCCTGCCTCAGCCTCCCGAGTGCTGGGATTACAGGAGTGCGCCACCACACCTGGCAGTATATTATAAAAAATGAAAAAAGTAAGAATTGTAGGAGTACTGACTGCAGATATAGCTCAGTGGCACAGCCTACCTGGCAAATGCAAGGTCTGGGTTCAATTCCCAGTACCAAAGACAAACAAACAAGAAGAATTGTAGGAGTAATTACCACTTACTTCTAGTCACTATTCACATTTTAATACATATTCATCTGCTTAATTATTGAACAAAAATGAGATCATACGCTTTTTCTCCCTGGTCATAAAGAATTGTAATAGGGCTAGGACTGTAACTTCATGGGTAGAGTACTTGTCTAGGCTATGTGAGGTCCTGGATTCAATCCCCAGTACTGTGAAAAGAGAAGAAGAATAATGATCTCATCTTCGTTAGTGTTATTTTATAGAAATATTTATTTTTGTGTAAAGATGTAGAAGGCAAATAGTCCATATATTCAATGCAGTAATATTTTAAATGGTGTATTCCATTTTTAAAAATATGCTATAGTTATCTTCTTTGCTGGAGAGTTATTTAGGTTGTTTCTGATTTTTTTTTTTGCTATTTTATTTTTATTTATTTGTTTATTTATTCTTCCGGTACCAGGGATCGAACTCACGACCTTGCGCTTGCCAGGCAGGTGCTGTGCCGCTGAGCTAAACCCCCAGCCCCTTTTTTTTGCTATTTTAAAGGATGTTTCAGTAAACATCTTTGCATGTTTTTTTTTTTTTTTTAAGGACGAAGTCCTGGAAGTAGAATTGCTGG